CGTTAACGTTGCTTTGTGTATAGTTATATTAAATGTCCACAGCTGCAGAGAGCGAGGAAATTCACACTTCCACTTTTGCTTTTTAAACTTGGAGAGCTTTCATGCCAGGCTGCCCCCTGCCTCCTTTGAGAGGAAGTGCAAATCTCTTCTGGATTTCTCACATTTTATTATCTTTTGTGCATTTTTCTGCCTGTACAGTTTTACAAATAATGCTTGACTTCTTGTAGACTGAAAAAAACAAGGAAGATAATTATTCCTCTGCCCTATTTTCTACTTTACATCCACCCTTTGCAGTCGTTTAAACCTGCAGAGACCCAAAGAAGAACGACGTGTCTTTCCTGTTTGGTGCTGAAATATTTTTTCATTTATTTTCTGCTGAAAAGAGCATTTTCTGAAAGTTGTTTCCTTTTGTGTATGACAAATACCTGTGTGTGTTCTTCATCCCACACATATACAAATGAATGCAAACTAGGGTGTGTTCACGCTTTGAAAAACGAGGCTGCTCAACAAAGCACTTCGATCACACCTTATAAAAATATTCCCCTCTGAGACGCACGATAACCGAGCAGTTATGTCTCATATCCTATAAGTCTGCTTCTATCTTCATCTCACATCAAAATCACAATCATCGCTGCACTCTGAACTGCCATTTCCCTTTTCTGCCCTCCGTCAAAGAGAAAATAATATGTACCTTGTCACCAATGTCTACCCGTACAAGCAACTTTCCCCTACTAATTCAGCCCAGCGCTCCACAGACATCCGTCAGATATAACTGGCGGAGGAGAGGGCATGCCGAGACAGCCATTAAAGGTTCCTAGCTGTCAAAGGTTCCCCTTTGTGTTGTGAGGGGCGATATAAGTGTCATGCTCTTATCAAGGCTTCCTGTGGAGTTTGCTCTGCATCCTGTCCACTTAGAGCCGCTCCTTTTTCAGTGAAGTCTCATTGTGTCTGTGTGCAGGTGTGTGTAGTACGTATGTGTGTGTGTATGTGTGTGTGTGTAATGTCAAGTGAGTCATTTTTTGATAGTGGTTAATCAAGTCAAACTATAGATCAGGATCTGGAACAGGAAATTTATAAAAATCTCTTATCCATTATAAATCAAAAGGTGCGACTCTGCTTCTCATATTTGATTGAAATACTTTTTGCAAACGGTGAAACTTTTATCACATTTTTTGTTTTGTGCATCATTTATATGAATACTTTGGGCATCACGGCTGCTGATATTTGGAGAGCAACCTGGTTAAACGTATTAAAAAGTGATAACTCGCAAAACAAAAACAGGAAATAGAAGGGGGAATGCTCGGGTCTAAAAAAACCTGACAGATCTACTGTAAATCGACGTTCATGGACTCATCCATCTTAGCTCGCAACGGGGAAGGCTGTTGTTGTTTTAGCATCCAGGAAACAGCAGAGCATGTGTCAGCTAGTAGAAGCTAACCGTTAGCATTAGCAACTCCACTTCAGGCATGTGTTATTTAAAGCAATAAAACATCAACGTTGCAGACCGACCGGAGGCAGTGGAAGAGTTGCATTGCTGTTAGCCAATCAGAGACAAGATGTCCACATAACATAGATGATAATGAGTAAAATGCAGAACCCTGTGGTTTTCTGGCCCCCTCTCTTCTGGCTAACTTTTCTTCTGTGAAAGATTTTTTTTTCACAGAGGAGATCTCACAAGGCTCTCATTTATACTAGAGACCACTGCAAATGTGTTGAAAACAAAAACAAGTGAATGAGAGCTTTAAACTACGAAAATATATATTTTACAGATGTGGCATGCAGATTTTTGGGTCAATGCTGAACCAGAAAGTTACAGTTGTGGACTTTAGATGACGTCATAAATTAGCTTTTCTCCTTTTTTTTCAAATACAGTTTTTTTTTGGATGAATTTCGCCTAACTGATGCACTGCCATTTTCCTGCCATCCATTTTCATCCGCTTACCTGGAGTCAGGTCGCGGGGGCAGCAGCCCAAGCAGAGAGGCCTAGACTTCCCTCTGGAGAGGGCCTTCTGGCTGAGCTCTCTCTTCAACACGACAGACCGATACAACTCCCGCATCACTGCAGGCACCGCATCAATTTGCCTTTCGATCTCACGCTCCATCTTTCCCTCACTCTGAGATATTTAAACTCCTCCACTAGAGGCAGGACCTCGTCCCTGACCTGGAGGAGGTACATTACCCTGCCATTTCTCTTTTCTAAAAGCTTTTGTCCATACTCAGATCTCAGTAATAAACACGTGATAGAGTGTTTAACCAAAATAAAGGAAGGAAGATCTACAAAGTGTTAGTTGGCTGCTTCCTTTTCACCTCCAATAGGCAGAATGAGAATGAGGTGATTTAAGCAGCGTTCCTTTGAGTGATGAGACTGTGAGTGTCCCATTACATTACCTCCAGTCAAACATGGTGGTGGCAGTGTGATGATGTGGGACTGCTGCTACAGGACCTGGATGACTCACTGTGATTGATGAAAGCATGAATTCTGCTCGATAAGAAAATTCAGAAGGGGAATGTCTGACCTTTGACCTTAAACAGCTATACATGCTGGAAAACCTTGCAATTTGACTTGTTGCCACCAAGGACCTTATTTAGTTTAGGAAACACTCGCAGACACAGCACCAGGCTGTGTTTGGCTTCTTTTTCTTTATCACGTGAAACATTTAATTAGATGGGACGTTGATGTTTGTTTATCTGAAACGTTTGACAAAGTTCAAAAAGAAAAGGCAGAATTGTTGAACTTTTCAAACAAAAACGATTTCTGTTATATGAAAACTTCATGTTTTTTGTTCTTTTACTTTGGAGAGTATGAAGTTTAAGAGGGGGTAAACTTGGAGTAGCTGCGTTTACTTTTGTTTCGTTTAAACCGTTTCACGCATGGAGCTGATGGTTTCCAGCCGGGTCCTATACTCTTCCTCCTCTGTGTGACACGTGTGTGTGTGTATGGATAGGGGGTGGGTGGGTGGGTGGTTGGGCGGGGGGGAATGAAAAAAGGAAGGTAAAGGTAAATAAACAATCAGCCGCAAGCTTGTTCTGGCTCTCCTTCTCTGTTGCCCCTCATTTAAAGCCTTATAAATCAGGCTTCCACTCTGAGACAGGGTGTTAGTAGGCCTCCCAGTCACACACACACGTAGGTACACAAAAAAAATCACACACACACACACACACACACACAACTCACTAGTCTGCTGCTCATTAAACTCCACAATCAGACCATCAGGTGTGTGTTAAAGCAGGGCAAAAATGAAGTATGGATGTTGCCAGTTTGTAGTACAGAAAAGTATGAGTGTGTCTGAAAAGTAGAAATCACAGCATTTTGCTTCCATCTGGAGATTAGCTTTACATATGTTAATAACACATGTGTAACACTCAATACTGCTCCCCACAAACCCCATAACAAGTGCACTCTGACTCCTGCAGCTGCAGAGAGGATACTAGACCGATAATAAGAGGTGTGTGTGTGTGTGTGTGCGTGTGTGTGTGTGTGTGTGTGTGTGTGTGTGTGTGTGTGTGTGTGTGTGTGTGTGTGTGTGTGTGTGTGTGTGTGTGTGTGTGTGTGTGTGTGTGTGTGTAGAGAGAGAGAGGGCCTGCCTGGTTAGTCTTCAGTGGCTGTTTGCACATAAAATTAAGATCTGGACTTTTTCAAAGTTCTAAAGCAGACCAGACCGTTAATAGAGGTTTAATATTATCAACAAGTGTTCTTTTTTAAACTCATAATCGGATAAAAAATGCAAGAAAAAAATGGTTTTGTTTGGAACTTGAAACTTTTTTTCTTAGTTTTAAAGAAAAGCACAACTTGGTGGTAAATCTCACACCTCGGTCAAAAAGTGCAGAACATTGTCGCTACTTCAATCACACACTCGTACATTTGTCGAAAACCGTTGCTGCAATAAAACAAGGCACACTTCCACACCTAGATCCAGACCCCCTAGCATGTTTACTCTCCGAGCTTGGCACCTGTGCCCCCACCCACAAAAATGCAACTTACACAAAGCTCCGCTCTAACAGGAACATGGCCATTCACACTTTATGAGCAGCAAGAAAAATATAAATGCGAACACGTCTGTATAAAAGCTGCTGCTTAGACGAGTTCGCAAACCTGGCACATCTAAAAATGTCAGCTGGCTTGTTGGTTCTTCTCCATCGCACCTCGGTTTCCTTCAGCAGACATTTGACAGTGATTAGGAGAGCAGAGAGTCAACCTAGGGGTCAACTCTGAATTCAGGCTGGGCTGATTGGTCCTTGTAATTAGAGGAGCTGCTCTGTCCCAGGCCAGTTCTCCCAGGAGGATTCACGCTGGTTCTCAGTATCATATGCAGCACGGGGGCGAAATCAGAGCCCAGCGTGGTGGAGAGGGCGAGCTCGGGGGTTTCAGCTGACCCCAGATTCTCAGCCATGTCCAGAGATACACCCCAGAGCTCTGGACCTGTGTCATAAACACAGAAATAGTCTCCAATGTGATCATTTGTTAGATTTCTATTTGTCAAGCATCCATTGTTAGTTAACAGAAAAATCTTATAAATTCTCATAAAAAACACAATAAGGACTCATTTCTCCTTTCTGGACTCCCCCCTCACATTTCTCCTCACAATGAACCCCTCTTCTATTCTTCTGCTCCTCCTCTTCCTTCTTCACCACTACCTCCATCCTCCTTCATTCTCTGTGAAAGCGGGTAACATGAGACCCGCTCCTGGAGTCTCCGGGGGCTGACAGGGTTACAAAGGGTGATCAATACATGCCAGAGAAAGTCATTAGACAAGTGAAAGAAGCCACAGTTTGTACACTCCCTCCTCCTTTCCCTCTTCCTTGTCTGGTTGTCAGGATTGACAAGGTTAGGTGGCCCTAACACCCACCGACTCGTTCGCTCTTTGCATCACATCAAACATTTTCTTTTTTTTTTTTAGAATAAGGCTTGTGCTCTCTGTATCCACATAGATAATGTGAGTTTGATGCCTGTTTGAAATGTTATTGATTGTTAAATTTACACATTTTGTGGTCTCTAACAGGTGGTGGATGTGATGGGGAGCATCAAGTTTGCACTGGACACGGATGCCACCAGCAACAGCTGGCTCAAATATGTCCGCTCGGCCTCGTCATTCGAGGAGCAGAATCTCGCCGCCTGTCACCTCACAGGAGACCAGGTGAGTGACATGATGCCATTGTTCTACTTTCATGTGCAGGGAAACAAAAAAACAGGTAGACAGCAGCAAAGGAGTGCAGCAGTTACAGCTTGCAATCTATTCCTCACAGGGTAGATACGTGTGAACGGATATGAGTTTGTGTGTGTGTGTGTGTGTGTGTGTGTGTGTGTGTGTGTGTGTGTGATGTAATGACAGAGGGCTGGTTTTATTGTTTGTCTGAGGCTGAGGTCGAGGCTAGCTGCCAGTGCCATTATGAAACAGTAAACTTAAAGAGGCTGAAGAATGTTCTGACACTCCTGATTTCCATGAGAAGTTTCATCCAAGCCGTGATCTTTATCTTTGGTGTTTTTCTCTATTTCGGCTTCTTATTTTTCCTCTCGTCAACAAAATGCTGACAACACATTAGATGGTTTTGGAAAGATGCCCAGCCATCGCCCATAAAACTCCAACAGCTTAACTAGGCTCAAACCTTATGCAACGTGTCTCCCAACTCACTGTTGCAATTTACTTCTAAATGTCTGTGTTTCTCTGCTTTCATTAGTTTTTATTTGAGTTTTAGTTCAGTTTGTACCTTAATGGGAATTTGCGATCTTTAAATTGGAATTGCAACAGTCGAAAAACAACCGTGTCGCAGCTTGCTGTAGAAAACAACAGAGAAACGATGCTAAATAAGCCATGGAGTAAAAAGATCCACACTGTTGGACAAAAAAAACATTATTACTTACAAGTCCGGTAACAACAAAGCCAGGCCACTATCAGTTCATGATACCGTAGCCTCCTTTAGCTCCCTCACACTAGTGTAAATAGTAATTGGCCTGTACTTGATACAATGCTTTGTAGAACCATAGAACCCCAAGGTGCTTTACAACACAATCATTCATTCACCCATGCACACACACATTCACTTTCTGGTGGTGATGAGCTACAACATAGCTACAGCTTCCTTTGGGCGCACTGACTGAGGCGAGGCTGCCAAGCACCAGTGCCACTGATCCCTCCGATCCCCACCAGCAGGCAATGTGGATGAAGTGTCTTGCCCAAGGACACAACAGCAGCAGTCCCCGCTGGGAGCGAGGATTGATCCTACTACCCTCCGATTACTGGATAGCCTGCTTTACTTCCTGTGCTACTGCTGCGTGTGGCAGTGCTGCTGGTCGCTCTGGTTTTACCTCTCTGCTTTGCCTCCAAAGACATTTGTCTCTAACTTTTACATTCAGGCTCCACCATGGTGCCAACAAAAAAATGCACAACTCTTCTTCTTGTGATTTTTATTAAAAGCTGCAAAATGACAAAGCTAACTGCTAGCCTTTATATTAGCTACAGCAAAGCGCTTTTTCCATAAAGCACGTCGAGACCTCACACCCGTACCGGAAACTTTTTTGTGCCGTCTCGGGCCACAGAGTGCTGTCCAATCTGAACTTGTTCAAGTTTCTGACTCAAGAACCACTGAAACCAGTTTGAAAGCAACAGTTTAAATTGTAAAAACCTCTTTAGTGTTGCTTTAAGGATGTGTAATAAGAAAATTATAAAATGAAGCCAGAGGGTGACATACGTGACAGCACTGTGACAGTAGCCGACTGCGTCCGTACAACGTAGCCGTGTGTTTCCGCGTTCCCGTCACTCCGCTTTTATTCGTTTGCTAATCCTTGCCTACATGGCTCATTCTCCTTCCCGTGTCAGTCTTTTACCATCTGTTCCTTGCCGACTTCCCTCTGTCCTCATGTCTTGATCTGCCACCTGTCACTCTGTCGCACTGAGAGGACATGGCCCAAGTGTCCATTAAAGCTTCACCCATCAAGAGAAAGGGGGCCCGGACCAAGTAAGAGAAGGGGGACGGGCAAGGGGCCTCTCAGATTGACAAGCACCAATTGGCTGGCAACACCGACCAGCCTAATCCTTTTAAGATTTTCACATCAGTGCCCCCTGCCACCGTCACACAATGTCAAAGAAAGAAACAGGGCACCGGAGAAAATTGTGGAGAATTATCGGACCGAGAAAAAGGCCACGTGCACAATTGCTTTTTGATGTGTTTTTGCACTTGTTTGTTTTTAGCAAAGGGCTTTGCTTTTGTTTGCCTGACCAGTTGCTTGCTATAGTGGCTCACAGGTATGACCCTATAATTTATTTACAAACACAGCTCAAACACACACACACACACACACAAATACACAGCCTCTCAGCGATAAAATGTATAATTTAGCAGACCATTCTGTGATTTTTTTTTTTATTTTGTATTTTTCTGGGTTTTTGTATTAGCATGCACAATGCATGAGTTTATGGAAATATATGCACACGAAGCAAATGCATATGTGGCTAGGAACCTTTTAAAAGGAAAGTGGAGGTTTTGTTTGTTTGTCATTAATGATGCAAGATGAACAAACACATCCACCATCATAAATTATTTAGATATTTGTGTTTATGGAATGATTTGTCATTATTTTTTATATTAGTGGTGTTTTTTTATATAAAAGCTGTGGATTTATTTTTCAGTTTTCTTCTTGTGTGTGTGTGTGTGTGTGTGTGGGGGGGGGGGGGTTAGTTATTCTTTACAGAAAAACACACACACCTAATCCCGGTGACTGCTTCCAATTTTATTCTATTGCAACATTCAGACTCTTTAAATAATGGTCAAACACAAAAAGAAAGAAAAAGAAATGAGCCAACAATTCCCTAGGAGTGTGTGTGCGTGTGTGTGCGTGTGTGTGTGTGTGTGCGTGCGTGCGTGCGTGCGTGTGTGCGTGCGTGCGTGTGTGTGTGTGTGTGTGTGTGTGTGTGTGTGTGTGTGTGTGTGTGTGTGTGTGTTTACACTCATTGAATGAGTTAACAATTGCACAAAAACTGGTGTTTGAGCGAGCCCATTCAGGAGTTCGAAGGCCAAGTTGCATTTAGTGATTTATACGCCTGAGAGAGTGCAGTTAGTGTGTGTGTGTGTGTGTGTGTGTGTGTGTGTGTGTGTGTGTGTGTGTGTGTGTGTGTGTGTGTGTGTGTGTGTGTGTGTGTGTGTGTTGAGCTGAGAGTTGATGGGGGTTTAAAGAGAAGATGAACCATGTCCACCTTCTTGTCAACCCTTCATCTTTTGTGTTTTGGAGTGGAGACCCTTTCTGCCGCTGTTTGATCTGCTCCTCTAGCCCCGGATGGATCCATCAATCTGTACAAGCAGTCGTGTGTGTGTGTGTGTGTGTGTGTGTGTGTGTGTGTATGTGTGTGTGTGTGTGTGTGTGTGTGTGTGTGTGTGTGTGTGTGTGTGTGTGTGTGTGTGTGTGTGTGTGTGTGTGTGTGTGTGTGTGTGTGTGTGTGTGTGTGTGTGTGTGTGAGGCCACAGTAGGAGATTATTGCAGGCCCTACGGCTGGCAGTGATTGATGAGGCATCTGTCTGCTGAACACTGGACAGAGATGGGAAGGGGTCAAAAGTGTTTTGAGTGTAGGCCTTACTGTAGAATACACACACACACACACACACACACACACACACACACACACACACACACACACACACACATACACACACACACACATACACGGGCACACAAATTGCTCATACAAATCTGTAGATATCAAATAATCATAGATTATTAGTCCTTTGAAACACTAATAAAAACATAATGGTATACATACGTTATGAAATATAATAAAGAACTATATATATATTTATGTTTTATTTCTTGGGTTTTCCTCCCACTTCTGTAATTTTGTCTCTAATTCAACTTTTTGAGCGTTTTTTAATTAGTTTTCATTTAAAAAAAGGAAAAGTTAAATAAAGCAAGACGTGACATAAATATTCACGATCTTTTTGAATAAACTGTTTGCCTTTAAGTAATTTTGAATTGCAATATTTAACCTAAATAATATTTACATTATTTCCAATTGTATTTTAATAAATTACCTAGTCTTAAGAGCAGCTTTAAGAACAACTGACTAATACTTTTTCAAATATCGATAATACAGGCCTTCTGGTATTTTGCACCTTGTGTGTGCGCGCGCGTGTGTGTATGTTTGTGTGGGGGGGTGCATGTTAGACAATGTGAAAGCAAGACTTTCTGGCTTTTTTATCCGTTACTTACATCAGTAACAGATTTATCATGCAGCAGAGAGGCGGCTGGGACAGGAGATGCGGGGAGGGGTCTGCGCCGCAGATCCCTCGATCCTTTTGGCTGGAGATAAGACGAGTAGGAGTGGCCGACGGGTAACCGAGAGAGCACCAAGGGGCAACAGGGAATCACTAATGAGAGAGGGGGGAGTCAGAGAGAGCGAGAGAGAAAGAGAGAGAGGGGGGGTCATCATCATCATCAAAGACGCGCTCTGAGACTAGATCAGACACTGGCAGCAGAGGAGCGTCGGGCTTCATCCAGCAGGAGGGAAACCGACTCCGAGAGTCCCGAGAGCTGCCGGCCCTGCCGAGCCCGCCCCTGACCGCCGCAGCGCCCCGCTCTCTCTCCGGCAGACTTACTATGGGTTGTGTCGCTAACTCCTCCGGGACTGAAGTGCTACTGCAGCTGGAGGCTCTCCGCAGCGCCGCGCAACTTTCTCAACTCTTCTGTCTGACGGAGAAAAGAAAGGTCAGGTCGGGAGGCTCCCGCAGAGTGTGTTATCGGTCTTCTCAATGATAATAATAATAATAATAATAATAATAATAATAATAATAATAATAATAATAATAATAATAATGTCGGTGTTCAGTTTCATCTTGACCGCAGTAAGTCTTGAAAGTTCAATTCTGCACATGGTTCCGTGTGTGTGTACGCGCGCGTGCGGTCGTGTGTGCGTGTGCGTGTGTGTGTGTGTGTGTGTGTGTGTGTGTGTGTGAGTGTGTCCTGCTGTCCAGTGTTGTGGTGACATGTTAGTCCAGAGCGCCCCCGTGCGTTTAAACAGCAATTTTTCAGCGTGTGTGGTCGGTTTCGGTGCGCGTTTTTATTTATCAGAATTATCTGTGAGTTTATTGTTGTTGTTGTTGTTGTTGATGATGATGTTGTTGTGAGGGTATGAATTTATTTTAAATATTAGCATAAAATTTTACTTATATTTTTAAAGGCAACACCAAAATTAATATAAATGTAGGTAACAGACTTAAGGCCTTATTTCCGAACGGGCTCTGGTTCTGTCATTTTTTTCTGAGATTTTTATGTAATCTTGTGATAAAATGGTTATATTATTTTGTACGTAGCAGATTCCCCCTTGAATTTCACAATCAAATGCCTAATTTTTAGCAGATGAGAAGTGTCTGCTTGTTTATTTGGGTTTCCTGCAGCTCCGTGTCTGTTTTTTGTTTGTTTGTTTTTAGACTATTGCTATTTATTTAATTAGAATTTATTTTAATGCAACATTGTGTGTTTTTGTGCAATACTGTTTGTTATAGATTATGTTTTACTGCATTCTAAGTGTTTCGCAAAAATAAATAAATAATTTAAAAATTATGTTAAATTCACACTGACTTTTTTACATTGTTTTGCTTTTAAAGAATTTATCATTGCATTGCTTGATTTACACTTCAGTTATGTTTTTATAATAATTTCCTTTTAAGTGTGCAGAGGGGTGAACATTTATTCTCACCATGCCCTTAAATTAAAGCTTCTTCTTTCTTCTCTGTACTCAGATTTATTATAAAGCTGTTCGGGACGTTGAAGCAGGGGAGGAGCTCTTAGTGTATATGAAGGACGGCATTTTCCCCGAGGGATCCATGGCACCCAACCTACAAGGTAAGATTAATGCGCGTCACTAGCGCACTTTTAAACAAACTCCGCCTGGCATCATGTGCTGCTTTGGCGGTCACGCGCACTCTCCGCAACGAGGAAAGGACGCAACCTCTTGTTCTCTGTTATTTTATCCCCCTGGAAAATAATCTCTTCATGATTAAAATTAGTATATGAAAGTTCAAACCCAACTAAACTCCGCAGAGATCCGGTGAAAAAGGTGCGACTTTATGTGCGCCACGAACATCCGGGTTTCACTTTAAGCGTTTTGTTTGTTTTGTTTTGTGATGGGAATTTATGTTTACATCATACGGATAAACAATTAGGCTATGAATTAAGGTTTTCACTCAATTAAGCAAATAAATAAATAAAAGAAAGACAGGAAAATACAACAAACCTTTGGTCTGATATTTTTTGTTGCTTTTAGTTTTTTTGTGAGAAACCTCTAAAACTGTCCATCAGCAGTTATTCTTTATTTATTTGTTTATTGTCTCACGTGTGCATTTCATAAAGTCAGGACTTGCTTTAGAAAGAAAATTCAAAAGGAAAAAATAACTAATTGATTCATTATGATATAATTAGTGAAGCTCATTATGTCTGAAGGGTTACATTTGATTTCTTAATTAGAAATGGATCAACTTTTGCTTCTTTTTGTGTCATTTCTTTTCCAAACCACTCAAATGATTCATGATGTTCAGCAAATTTGTCCCTTTTTATATGAATCAGTTAGTTAAATAAATATGCTTCATTACATTTGTGTAGGTCTGCTCTGTTCAAAGATCCTCTGTGTTTCTGAAGGGAGGGGGAGCATGTATTTTATTTTTAAATATTTATCTTTTTTTTTACATTTTGACATTTTTAGAACTTGACTGTTACTTTAAAAACACCCCTTGGTTATTCAGATTTTTTTTTCTGAAAATGAAGATTTCTATGTGCTTTGTTTGATTCCTGCCTTAGAGTTGGTATCTGTGCATTTTATTTTTTCATGATTAATAATATTTAGCAAAATAGCTCACTTTTCAAGCTGAGCCTTCATCTCCTCTGGAGTGTGTAACTCCATTCCCTGATCTTGCTGCCTTTGAACTGTCCCTCCTTACTGCACGTCAAACTAAATATGTCCAATATTTTATCTCATAATCAAATTTGGACCGTAGATCTTGGCTGGTCTTTCAAACTTCACTTGAGCGGAAAAGGGGCTGCAGGTCTGCTCTGTTTCCTTTAAACATCTTGGGTTTATTGCGGTGAAGTGCTGTTGTCAGGTAACATTGTTTTGTTGTGTTTCTGTGACCGAGGATTGTTATAAAAAATAAAAAGAAAGGAAGAAAGTCAGACTCGTTTTACTTGTCATTGATCATCCAGGGGGTGGAGGGAGGACACGATTGCACGAAACTCCCAGTTGCCCTGCTCCCACGTCGGCTCAGATGCACAGATCATAGATGGACCTCTGCGCCAGAGCTACAGAAAGAAACAGGAGCTGAATTTTTTTTAAAGAAGCAAAATAACACATTTAAGAGTTTTAAGGAGGACGTGGACATAAAATTGATTTTTTTTCCTGTTCACTTTTGTATAAAATACAAGAAGGATGCAGACAAAATTCCACCTGCCAGAATTAGTCCTGAAATTATAAATACATCACAGGTGCTTTTCTGTTAGAGACTATTTCGCTGTGACCTGAAGACACACTAAAATACAAGAAAGACACAGAGAAAACCCACCAACTGTGGTGTTTTGTGTCATTTCTTCAGTTTACTTGTGTGACGCGGTAGCACAACCCTGCTCTCTGTCTGCAGGCTTATCGAAGAAGGAATTTGAAGCAGAGGACTTGAGGAGCCCCCCGAGACCTCACCCATGCTCCCAGATTAGCTGCTAAACTGCACATAATTGTGCCTCCCTTCGTCTCCCAGAGCGCTATTAGTCTCCACTTTATAACCCCACCCCACCTCGCTTGCACAGACCAGACTAACCGATAAAACACATGTATGCTCAGATGAAAAGCAAACCCCTCTGTTTATGCTACAGTTGTTAATGCGCACAGTTTGTAGACCAGAGGAGTTCTTGAGTATGTGGACATGAACAGGAGCTTTTTCCACACAAACTCCAAACACTTTAATGTTTTCCTGTCTGAAATGAATCTAAATAATGTAATACTCAAGTTTCATGATCAATCTATTGATAGGAAACTTTCCACTCTGTATGAAAACAAACCCAACATTAGTGTCAAAGCAATCTAGTTAGTTTAGTGTTTGAGCTCAGTGTAATGGTCTATTGACCAGGGGGTCATTGCTCCCCTCCTGATGGTTAGACACACTGATGTTGCTGCTCTAATGTCCTTTTAATGCCTCCAAGAGGTTCCAGCTGGACAAACGGTCACCTGCAGTGGAAAACAGGTGAGCCATGCACTGAGAGTCATTTTCGATGAACTCATTTAGTGCAGCTTGTTTGCATCGATGGTTGTGTGTGGCATGTTGAGGTTGGGGGGGTTGGGGTACATCATGGCTGTGTGGGTCATGGCAAAAAGGGTATGGCAGGTTGGTGCTGGCGCCGCCACAGCTTTGCTTTCCTCTGTTCCTTGTGGCTTACATTGCAAAATGTTCACACACACACACACACACACACACACACACACACACACACACACACACACACACACACACACACACACACACACACACACACACACACACACACACACACACATCTTCTAATCTGCACAAAGACACTCCTCTGGGCTTTCCATGATCTGTTGAACTTGGCACCTGACGCAGGAATTTTCTATGGAGAGAGCCGGTCCAAGTTTTATGCATTTGACCTTGCTTGTGAGAAGTATTATAAAGGTTATCAGCAGGGAAGGGGGAAACCTATTGTTTCCCCAGCGTGCTATTACCCCTCCAGTCTAAAGCAAACACTTGCTTTAACACGTAATTAACCGCGTTAATGAAGCCCACATTTCACTGTTAATTGATTTCCATTTTATCTGGATGTCGTTTTCAGGATTGTGGCTTTTACCTTTTGTAACACCAATCTATTTAGATGTAACTAAACACAAACAGGATAGATTTGTTGAGTAATTGCATTTTTTTAAGATTTACGGATTTACTTTTCTCTGTACCTTTGGAAGCAAGTGTTACCTTGATGTGAGATAACCATTTGATGTTTTTTGCACTAAGGTGTTGTCTCAATTTAGACAAAATCCAACAATTATGGTCAAGCACAGTTAAAGACATCCATTAATCTTGGACCATACTGCGTTTCTGGCCAGCCTAGACAAATCTCTCACGAACAGATTCGTGAAAAAAAAAAAAAAAAAAAAAAAACTGTGAACATGAGGGTGATTTGAAAGTCTGTGGCCCTCCAGTGTGACCGGCTCTGTGGCAGCTTATTGAGCACTCTCATGACCAAAGTCCACCTCCAACAGTCTTCAAGCACTGCTTGAAAACCTACAACTCCAGTCTGCAATCAACCAATGAAAGAACACCCAGGGAGTGACGTGGTCTGCTAGTGACGAGGATTCAATGCAAGAGCAGAATTAGCAACAGTGGAAGTTCCTTCAGGAACATGCAGACCTCTCCTTTCAGGAGTTTTGCTCGGTATCTAATAAAATAAGTGTTAATGGAAGCGCTTTTTCCTCTTTTTGGTTAGCTGTTGGCTTTTACCTTTAGGAGGTGTGCTCGTGACGATAGTTTGTCCTGCTGGAGCAAAACTTCGTGCAGTTTGGCTCACTAAACTCTTGGACCTTATTTTCTGGAGTCCTCACAGTGTGATATGAACAGTTCTTTGCGACAGCTAAAAAACACGCACTGTGGTCTGGGCTTTAGTCCTGCAAGAAGTCCCAGTTTCAGTTTCACCACTTGAACAGCCTAAACTCCACATGTTTTCCAAAGAAAATTTGCTATAATAATTCTGCAAGAGTTCTTCAGCAGATATTTTCTATGTTAGATGTTGTCTTGTTAAATGCACTGACTTTATTTCTTGGTTTCCATGAAACAGGTAAACATTCCTTTGCATGTGTATGTGTTTGTTCATAGACGAGCAAATGTATCGCTGTGAAGACTGTGATGAGCTGTTCTCTTCAACGCTTGAGCTAAGACGGCATCAGAAGTGCTCGTGCTCCAGCGCGGGTTCCATATTCGACGCCCTAAGAGACGACTTTAAACAGGAACGTGAGGACAGCGACGAGCCTGTCCACGAGTGCAAAGACTGTGAGAAGATCTTCCCTAATGAATACAGGTACACAAACTGACAGAAAGAATTCAGTTTTGGACACGGTCTTCTGTTTTTGAAATCTCTTATGAGATTGTTCTCTTTTGTCATTAGTTTGGGGCAGCATATGATAGTTCATACGGAGGAGAGGGAGTACAAGTGTGACCAATGTCCCAAAGCCTTCAACTGGAAGTCCAACCTCATCCGCCACCAGATGTCACACGACAGTGGCAAGCGCTTTGAGTGTGAAAACTGTGATAAGGTACAGCAAACCCGGCACGTAAGTTGTGCACAGGACACACAGGCTTTATCAGTTTTGGTTTTTAGGCCTCACTTGTTTTGGTATGTTACAGTGTTTACTGTGGCACATATTGTACCATCATGCTCTTGTTCTACATTTTAGGTGTTCACAGATCCCAGCAACCTTCAACGCCATATCCGCTCCCAGCATGTGGGGGCACGAGCTCACACATGTCCTGAATGTGGCAAAACCTTTGCCACCTCATCAGGTCTCAAACAGCATAAGCACATCCACAGCAGTGTCAAACCCTTTATCTGTAAGTAAAGGTCATGGCTGCTTTTCATCTATAGACATACAGCCGAAAGACAAAAGCATCATTATTCAAAAGACATAAGCAATGTTGGTCCTGATTTGGTTTGCAGAGTTGGAGACAGTGTTAAAATGGGTTTAACCAGGCCCTGATGGGCTGTGTCTTTTTGCTCCCCCAGGCGAGGTGTGCCACAAATCCTACACCCAGTTCTCCAACCTCTGTCGTCACAAGCGTATGCATGCTGACTGCCGTACACAGATCAAGTGTAAGGACTGCGGGCAGCTGTTCAGCACTACCTCCTCCCTCAACAAGCATCGCCGCTTCTGTGAGGGTAAAAACCATTATGGCTCTCCAGCAGGAATGTTCAACCCTGGAATTGCCATGAGTTCCAGCCCTATCATGGCTAAAGCTAAGTCTCACCATCCCCACCTTCCAGGTCTGAACCAGTCAGGTTTAGGCTTCACTGATTACTTTCCTTCAAGACCTCACCCTCATGCTGGCTTGCCCTTCTCGCCTCATGGCTTCCCATCCCTCCCACATGGCTTTCCAGGTATCTTCCCCCCGTCACTTTATCCACGACCACCATTATTACCTGCCAGTCCATTGTTAAAGAGCCCACTAGGTGGCAGTGGTCAGGAGGTGAAGCTTCCTCGAAGCCCTTTGGGTGTCCCTCCATTGTCCCTGGTTAGTTCCACAAACAGCAATGAGGTTAATAGTTTGAGTCCACATGAAGACAAGGAGAAGGAGAACAAACTGGATTTATCTTCTAGTAGAGAAGCAAAGCCTAAGTCTAAGATGGCTGACATGTCAGATGGTAGCGACCTTGAAGATGTTAATACTACAAGTGGGACAGATCTGGACACCACCACAGGTACTGCTTCAGGTGATGGCTCTGATTTGGAGAGTGAAGGAGAGAGTGAACGTGAGCGAAGTGGTAAAAGAAGGAAGCCATCTGGCATCGTATCAAGTCAAGAAGCAAACCAGTTAGAAGACACAAACAGTGCATTAATATCAGCCGTGTCTGGTTCAGGAACCCTTTCTATAGATCGTCCATTTCTTGCTTCTGCATCCCAGCACTCTTTTTTCCCCCCACCTGATGAGCAAGCCCTTCCACCCAGCTCCACAAATGCCAATGCAGCCACCACTGATTCCATCAAAGCCATCGCCTCTATTGCTGAGAAATACTTTGGTCCAGGTTTGATTGGACTTCATCAGGAGAAAAAGATGGGTCCGTTGCCCTACCATTCCATGTTTCCCTTCCAATTTCTGCCCAACTTCCACAACTCCCTCTATCCCTTTAGCACAGATCGAGGCACTCTCAATCCCAGCGTATTCCTTAAGGCTGAGCCCAAGTCACCTCGCGAACAGCTGCAGAAGATAGTTTCAAGTTCCCCTGCAGCCCCTGTCACCACTGCAGAGTCCCCATTTGATCTTACCACAAAACCCAAAGAGGCCAAGTTAACCCCTCCAACCCCAACCAATCCTTCAAATTCCAGCAATACTGGGAAAAGTAGTGGACCTGTAGCAATATCCAGTAATGAAGAACAGCCACTGGACCTCAGCATTGGCAGCAGGAATCGTGGTGGTCATAATGGTTTGCCTGCTGAGCTGCAAAATCGAAAGAACCACATATACGGAGCAGTAAAGGGGATCCCCAATAAGGACGAAACCTCAGGAGGATTTCCACATCCCCATTTGCAATCGTTGCACCAATCGTCCATACCCCAACACCAGCAGCCGCCATCACAGCCACATCAGCCACCACCCTTGCACTATGCCAAGCCCTCAGCATTCTTTATGGATCCCATCTACAGGTATTTCAGCCCCAGTTAGATCAGGACCTAATAATTTTACACAATGTGCATCTAAACTTTATAAGTCAAAACTGATGTAGACAAACTGACCTTGGTACGTAACCCTCTGCCTTGTTGTTGGTCCAGCAGGGTGGAGAAGAGGAAGCTACTCGACCCAGTTGGAGCTCTGAAGGAGAAGTTCCCCAGGCCTTCACTATCACTCTTCCATCCACAGGTAAATTTGTACTAAAGGTGGAGCAAACAATTTCAACATAGTCTACAGCAAGTTTACACCAAAATGGGGAATTGTCCCCTTGGAAAAACAAACAGGCCATTTTTCCTAAACGGTTTACACTGTTATTTGAAATTACGCATTATGTGAAAATCCCAAACTTCTACCTCCCACGCTACTTAAACCTGATTTGGTAGGGCTGTCTATTGCATCATTCCACTGTGCTTTTGTTTTTTTCTCAAGGGTTCTGTATGATTTCTTCCTTTGTTCACCAAATGGCGCCTCTGCACCTCGTCAGTTTTACCTTTTTTTCTGAAGGGAGAGTCTGTTATTGCAGACCCTTTGATAATCAGCAACATTGTTCGACTGTCCCCAGACCTTTCCCACCTCTACAAATCTTGATTAGAAGGAATGATGGTATTAATAACAGAGAGAATAATAACCGTTTGAATTGTAAGAGATTGCCTCTCTTGGCTACGCCACTGTTAGCTGTGGCATTGTTTTATGTACTGGGAGTCCACGGACCAGCTAATAAGTCAGCTCCCTCCATATTTTCTTTTTTTTTCACTGTTGCTGGCTGGATCTCTAGATAATAGCACCATGTTCATCAAGGACATCCTGTGTTTGTGTCAAGGAGAATAGGGGGCTCATATTGGGGAAATGGTTTAATCTGACCTGGAAATCTGTGTCCTCTATCAACCATGTCTTTGCAGTATACTCAACTTGTGCATCTGCAAAAAGATGCACACAAATGCATTAATTTGCATTAATCAAAATATATGTATATAAAAACACTGTTTTTGATATTAGTGCAAGTGTATGCTCTAGCCCTAACACTCAGTTGCATTTGTCCTGTGCTCAACATTGTGACATCGGTCATAGCCGAAGTCTAAAACAGGCATTTCCTTGAGTCCCATAGGAAGGCATTAACTTGTAATTTATTACGATACCCTGGATCAAATATTTTCACAGGCTTCCACAGTAAACTTCTCATATGGGAGTGTCTCCACTCTGATCCTCCCAGAGATCGAAACACAATGCCACCTCTAATTCAGTCTCATGACGGAATCGCCACTCACCCCCAACACCCGTTCTCAGACTACGAATAAACACATCGAGACGGAGTGTCTGTCCCTATGTCTCTCCCATCACATATTCACTAAAAAAGGAAGGATGTAAACTGTTTTTGGCAAATAAACTCCTACACTGCTGGTCTCCTTTGTTCATAAGCTCCTTGGGGACAGGAAGTGGCTATCAGTTGGGGGTATCACAAACTGTATTGTACTTCTTCAGTCGTGACTCTTGAGTGCCTCATTTGGGCAGTTTTCTGTCCTAAAACAACATCTTTGGCAGGAGAAGGTAGAGAATAACAGACCGTGGCAGTGCAGAGGGGGCCCAGGAGTGATGGTGCTTGGTCCTTCAATAATAGGTCAAATGGGTGAGTGGTGTTTAGCAGAAACAATAAGCGTAACCTCTAATATAGTGCTTCCTCAAAGCTTCCTGTTCCTCCCCTGTTCTTTTTTATCGCCCATGCCTGACAGGCGGGGATAAAAGGGTTTGGCCTGTGTCTATGTGTGAGAGTGCTTGAGTTTATTTATCTGTGTTTACAAAGCATCTCATGAATCACTGAATAAATAACGAGGGGAAAGTTTTAAACATATACATTCAGCTGGTTGACCTTTTCAATAACCTAACTTAGGAGGACTGCCTCAACCCGTTGATTTCAGAAAACAGTTAAGATGATACTCAGCTAAAATTGTTGTGGAAGAAGCCAGAAGGAACGTTAAGTGATATGAGTTTTACTCTATAAATAATTAAAAATGTAGCATTAACTATTTTAAATGGCCCTGTTAGCAAAATAGGTCATGACTTATTGGACAAAGTTAAACAAAACATGCAGAAAACAGTTAGTGGGTATACACCACCCCAATTCAAGATGGCCGCCATAGCGGATCAACCATCGCCAACAAGAAAACAGCTATAAATTAGTGAACTTGGGAGATTTTGAGCTATGTTTTGATGTAGGGATTGCATTAAAGGTGAGTCCAATTATTTAGTGTCTGTATAACTGAATGACTTTAAAAACAGAATGTTTTGATGCACATGAGTTGATGTTTGCATTTTTATTTTTCTTAGATGTCAGCCATGGAAAATATGACAGAGAAGCTGGAGAGCTTTGGTGCTCTCAAACTGGATGCGCCGCCCAACTCACTGCAACACTCGACCCATCCACTGTTCAACTTCCGCTCACCACCACCTTCCCTCTCAGACGCAATCCTTCGAAAAGGAAAGGAGCGCTATGCTTGCAGGTTAGAGCATCATGGCTGCTGAGTTAATCACTTCTTCACAGTACTGATGCAATTAGCTGTTTGTTTGTTTGTTTGTTTGTTTGTTTGTTTGTTTGTTTTACGATGTCCTCTCTTTCCTTCAGGTACTGTGGGAAAATCTTCCCTCGCTCAGCAAACCTCACCAGACATTTGCGGACACACACAGGGGAACAGCCCTACAGGTATTCTACAATATTCCATCCTCGTCTAAAACCGATCTGTTAACTTATTCTTGAGTAGACTAAAAGAGGCTTTAAAGACCAAGTTCACTGAGAAACAGTTTTTACTTGTTATTTTTTTAAATATGATCAGTCACTCTGATTTTGACATGCAAGTTACACCTACTTCCTGTATTAGTCGTTGATAGAAAATACGATGGGGAAACACTCAAATTAAAAAAGCCACTCAGATCTATGTGAAATTGAAAATGACCGTTCATGGACTCGCCCATCTTGGCTTGTGACGGTGAAGGCTGTTGTTGATTTAGCGTCCAGGAGAGAGCAGAGAGCTTCTCAGCTTGTAGAAGCTAACCGTTAGCATTAGCAACTCCACTACATGACAGAAATCATCCAGGCTTGTGTTATTTTTGGAGATAAAACATCAACATTGCAAAGCAAACAGAGTCCGTGGTTGAGCCCTGTTGCTGTTAGCCAATCAGAAAAAAGATGTCCGAATATCAGGAAATACAACACCATATTCTGCCGTTTCCTGCTCACCTCTCCTGTGGCTTTCTTCTAGCTCCTGAAACGTGAGCTTAAGAGTGTTTCTCCCACACAGATTGAATCCAAAGGCATTGATTTATACTAGAGACCACTGCAGAAGTGTATTAATGAAAAAATGACTGCATTTGATCTTTAATCTTAACTCAATCAATCAATCAATCAATCATCAATCAAAGCTTTATTTATAAAGCGGTTAACAATAAAATATTGACAAACTTGACTGTAACTTCTTATTCAAAAACAGAACGGCTCACTCTCCTGTTAACCTTTGCAACCAAAATCTCCTCATTCTGTTGTCTCCTTTGCTTTGGCAGGTGTAAATACTGTGACCGCTCATTTAGCATTTCATCCAATCTTCAGCGCCACGTCCGCAACATCCATAACAAGGAAAAACCCTTCAAGTGTCACCTGTGCAACCGCTGCTTTGGACAGCAAACCAACCTCGACCGCCATCTGAAGAAGCACGAGCACGAAAACATTCCTGGTCAGTCTGCAGCAACGGCTGTATTCTCAAATGAAACGAAGGCAAAGGAAACTGAAAGTTGCTAGTAAACACGAGCTGCTGAGATCCTGTTTGCAGTGATAAGTGAACCCATGTGACAATTTGACATCATCGCCCAGATCAATATTTAGATGTTTGAAAAACCTAATCCAGTGATGAAAACGTAAAAACATTCATAATTTTCATTGCAAATGGACAAAAGAGGCCTTATTTAGTCAAGTAAGTGTAGGACTGGTTGCAAGTGGAATTCTAAAATGAAGCCTAAAAACATGCAGGACATACTAAAATAAAGCATTTACTGTTTTTACTGGTCATTTAACTCACTAAATCCTTTAGTTTTGCAGAGTTTTGATTTTAAAACATAAAAAGTATTTTAAGTGTATGTACATGTCTGTGCTTTCCCTACCAGTGAGCCAGCAGTCCGGGATGCTTTCCAACATAGGAACTACCATCTCCTCTCCAAACTCCGAGCCAGACAATCATGCACTTTTAGACGAGAAGGAGGACTCCTACTTCTCAGAAATTCGCAATTTCATTTCCAACAGTGAGATGAACCAGGCCTCCAGCTCCGCGGATAAAAGGTTTGACGAAAACACACTCGCAGGGCTCACGTTCATATTATGAGGTTGAAAAGACATTCGGTGATTATGTTTGATATCTGAGGGAGCCTGCAGTTTGGGCCAAGCTCCAAGTCTAACCGCAACTTGATCCTTTTTTAACCCATTAATCCTGACCACAGCTGAAAGACAAAAGCAGGAACCTTCTCTCCTTTATCATTTGTTTTATTTATTTATTTATTTATTTTGGTGAGGGCATTGAGTATTGAGTTGAATTTCAAAACAACAATCAAAAACCTTCATTTAGGTTTGATAAAAAGAGCTCCCTTTAGTCAACTGACACATATTTGTTAAGCTTATTGGTGCACAGCGCTCTCTAGTGGCTTGACCAGCCATTGAAGCTGCTGAAAACAGGAGCGTTTATTCTGTTCAATAATAGATGAGCCCAGCTGACGAAACTTAGTCATAATTTCTATCTGGTTTTCTAAAGGTTCTGTGAGTCCAATCGCAAAAGTCTTAGACCAGAGACCCCTCAAGGGAGGCCTCACAATTTTCTGTGATGAGGTTGTGAGGTTACAAAGATTTTATTTTTTTGTAAAATTTACATTTGTAAAATCTCAAAAACACACCCAATAGTGTAATCGGAACTTTGTATAAGAGCTATGATTCTGATTGAATGTATAGGGTTTGTAATTTTGATGCGTGCATGTGGGAAGGAGTTGGAGCTGGGGGGCTCTGGGTTGTCTTAGAGGTGGTCCTCAAGGAAAACTGGTTGGAAATGGAAAATTCTGCATCCCTTTTAGCTCTATAATAATTTTGTGAAGCTTCATGCAGTAAGAACAACACTAGAAATAAAACTTTTTCTCTTCTTCTGTCAGTGGTTTACCCCGATTTCTGACCCTATCTCTCAAACCCCTTTCTTGCTGTGAATTCCTTTCTGCTAGTCTCACTTTCTGTCTGCCTCTTCCTCCGTCACCCCCCCCCCCCCCCCCCCCCCCCCTCTTGTCAACACACATTAAGTCCGGCAGACCCAGTGGCAATTTAGCCCCTCTGCCATCTGGGATCAATACAGGGTCTCATCTACAACAAGCCAGTCTGACATTTTAATATCTGTAATTCAGACTATGTGTTAGCTTTCTGTCCTCCCAGCAGATGACCCGCTGTTTATCCTCCCTCTGAGTGACTCGAGTCGAGCTCTGAACACAAGCACGCAGTCATGGATGAATATTTGTGATCATTTTTTAAAACGCCTACGCCACCATAGTTCCCTGTCAGCTTTCTAGCGAGTGGAATAAAAGTTCCCAGAAACTTTTGTTTTCTTGTGTTTCCTGGTTGGAAACGATAACCTGGTGTAAATCTGCAGGGGTAGTTTTAGACAGTAGTGCTTAATAAGTAGGACGTTTCTGTCTTCTCAATACCATAATCCAACTTTGGTTTTTGGTTCCTCGTCTGGGTTTTACCTTGCTACCCTGAGGGGGAATTCGGTTGAGGCATTTATCTTGGAGATCCACTGATAATTGAGCTCTTCCCCCAATCCGCCCGCTATACCCATACCCCCAGCCCACTAACACAAACACCCGACTGACATGTTTAGACTAAATGACAAAACCCAGGGCCCCCTGTGTCAGAGCTACGCTTCTTTCCCCATTCCTGAGCATGGACTTTCCCCCCGCCAAGCAGCTCTGCAATTTGATTATGGTGATATTTAATCTAGATGGAAAGAGAAGAACTCCCCCTCCCTAAAGTTCCTCTACCCACTTGCACCCACCCGCTCTGTGACCCAATCCTGTCCCTGCGCACCCCTTCCCAGAGGTAATCCTGTCTGATTTGATAAATGTCCACAGTGTGGCAAAAAAAACTGGAAGGGGTAAATTTGCCATCCCAAAGGAAATGATATCATGAGCCATGACATTGTGGTTAGGGGGTGATGGAGGAAGGGGGCTTTGTTGAGGCGCGGGCTGGAAAATGTACAGATGGCAGGTTGTAATGGCAGTGTGCTGATAGCCTGTTTGCAGCCAAGCCGACATCTTCCCTCGGTCGCCTAAGCTACGCTCCACCATTACAGGGCGAGGCGGCTGGTGGAAGATCCAGTCAAGGCGGGACATCTCCTGCTCCATTTGGGAGCTGCTGCCTAATTAATCATGCATTGGTTGTTTGAAAAGTGCCCCAGGCAGACTGTCGGCACCCGTGTAGTTTGTGTGGACACCGGAGTTGTACCGTGCACATTTTGTTTGTTTGTCTTTCTTAAGCAAGAAACAATCAGCTCTGAACTAGATGTGAAACTGAAACCATAAGTGTTGTTGGATGACTGAAAAGGGAGGGCATTCAGCACATTAGGACTAAGACCTAACCTTGATTTTAGATTTTTCAAATTACAGTTCGGGGTTCAACACAGATCCACTAATGTGACAACCTTCCTTCCCTTCTCTGATCTCTGCAGGTCAGACCACCTTGAGGAGGATCGTCCACCCAGTCACAGTTTGTCCAACTCCAAGCTAGGGCTCCAGGGCCTAGACGAAGAGGAAGAGGAAGTGGAGGGGGACGATGAGGAGGAAGAAGAAGGCAGCCTGACGGAGAAGTCGCACGACGAGGCGCCGGAGTCCCCGTCTCCTTTGACAACAGGAGTATACGAGGAGGATGAGGAGGAGGAGGACACCGAGACGGCGCCGTTAGCTATGAGCTATGAACACACGCGCAGGTATTTATTTTGTGCACCAAGCAAAAGTTTAAAAAAATATGTAAAATGAAACACATTCCAGGGAATGTTTGTGGTTCAGATCAATTCATGTCTTTAATAACAAACCTTAATAAAATCAAACAACTTTTACACAGTTTTATAAAATGCTTTAAATACAAAATTAGATTTATTTTATTTTTTATAAAAATAATTTATTATTGATCATTTGAAAATGGCATTTGCCACATGTAGTACATTGGTTATCCACCAGAGGGCAGAAGACTTGCATGGGATTCAATGCAGAAGACTTTTAGAATAAAGGCTCTATTCTGTTTAAGGAATTCTATGCAAAATTTTTGTATTTTTAAATGATTTTCTTGAGTCCATTTGTGCTAAAATGACCCTTTACAGGGTCAATGAAATGCCACCCAGCTCCTATCACCCACTGTGGACAGAACATTCCACTTGTGGTGAACTGGCGGCCCGCTGTTGGTAAAAATGGAGCTGATATACATGACGCTGCAGCCTGGTTCCAGCAAGTTTACCGCATGTTTTAGATCATAAATACAGCTGATTTGTTTAATTTAGTGGTGAATCACCCTTGTTGACACTAATGAAGGCTTGGGAGACATTTCAACTGTCAGATTAAGGTTTTAAAATGACAAACGCACAGAGAGGAGATATTTTGCTTTCGGTTCTTCAAATTGACACTAGGGGGTCCTAAAAGCAAGCCAAAACTGCCTAGTTCCCCTTTGAAGAGGCAGATGTGGGGTATTTGTCATTTTGTTTTCAAGATGATTAACAATCTAAGAAACAAGACAATAATAATCTTAACCTGGATACATTTCATCAATTGAAGTGCTTCACTTATGGTTCTTTTTAAAACAACTGAGTTTTCAGTCTGTTCTCTCTTCCTGTCTAACCTCTTTATTAATTATACTTCTTCTTTTCTCCTCACATTATCTCATTTTTTCTCCTCCTTCAATGTTTTCTCCCATTAAATCCTATTAAAACTACATTCACCTCATTTAACTATTTACCCATCCATCCTCTCATCCATCCTCCCATCCATCGGTGTGCAGGTGTATAGAGGAGGAGGGCTCTCTCTTGGACCTGGAGGGTCTGCCCAGCTTTCCTAAGAGCCTGGATGGTTTACGTAAAGCAGCCATTGACGAGCAGCCCTTTGATGTTAAAGACATATTTAACACTTCACTAGAGTCTGAAGCATTGAAAGAGACATTGTACAGGCAGGCTAAAACCCAGGTATGTGATTGGATTTGGGATGTTTCTCTTAAAAGAGAAAAGGACGAAAACAAACATTTTTAATTTTGATTTACTTTGGATGCAGATCCCCTTTTTACGGGCTCTAACTGGCAAAAGCACCTATTTTATTTTCTTCTACAAAGAACTTTATTCTCTTTAGTACCATTCGGTAATCTGTATTGCTTTTCTGTCGTATTTAGTATATAAACTACAATACACAGTGAGTGAAAATAAACTGAAAATGAAATGCAAAACCATCTCACTAAAACTGAATAATAATCACACTATGTCATGAAGTAAACACTTTTTTTAATTACTTTGGTAATTTGGATGTACATTTCTTGATTATTTAGTGAAATTAGCTTTTTTTCTCTTTTTGAAACAATTTCTTGCATTTGTGACACTGTTCAGCTCCTTGAGTGATCTTATTGTTGTACTCAGTTCTCTTATTTTAATCTATCTTGGTGTTTTTCTTTCTTACAAAAGTAAAAATATTTGCTAAAAAGAGAGAAATTTTGCAAATAATCAATAATGGCAAATGTGCTTAGTGTGCAGTCTTGTTAAAGAAAAAAAGTGCAGAATTTTGGCTTTCTTTGTTTTGTTCAGTATTTTTTAATTTCCAGTTGAACTGAATTCAGTTCTTGTTTTGTTTTTTTTTGTACAAACTAAGAATAAATTGATTAAACATATAAAAGCATCCTTTGAGTCTCTGGAAAAGGCTAAATTGTTTTAAAGGCCAGTACACACGTAGCCGGGTTTTTCTAAAACCTGATATACTTTTTGAAGCACATTCATAGGCCAAGCCTGTAGGTGGCAGTAGTTCCCCAAATTGTCGGCATCTTTGCTGAAATACATTCCATGTAGGACGTTGAACACCTAGGCTGTGGGCATAACCTGTCCTTAACATCGTCCTTCGCCTGTGGTTTGACAAATAGAGCAGTAAAGGAGCTTGTAAGGACAACCGTGTAAACACAGGTCTCACAAGTAGCTGGGAAACCTAAAACTGCAGTTATTTACATCCACATGCAAATGCTGACACGGGAGAATTTCCAAATCTTTACTTTGGTCTGAGTTTTTGCAAGAATGCTTGTTGGTGCCGTTTATCTTCACTCTCTTGTGGCTGAAAAGCCAAACTGTTGGGAAATATCGTTGTTTTGTGGAATACAACATGTGTGGTCTGTTTCACACCGAGTGTGGAACGGTAGCAGTCTAGGACTTTTACACTGATCAAAATCTGAATCCAATCAGAGGATTCACACCGGTCGCGGTGAGGTTCAGATCCGGATGTGTATCCCTTGAAAGTCTCCGCATGGAGTCCATTTTTACAAACACAGTAAGCGGATTATCATGAAGTTCAATAAATGACATGTGCCAGACAGGAAGTGACACGTGTTTCAGTGAGGTGCGTCTGATTTATTTCAAAGTAAAACTTGTGTTACATTATTTTTACCGACTTTAGTTTTACTAACAGTGACAGTTAGTGACCAGCTCACAGTGTATGATAGTCCACATTATTTTTACAGGTATATTTTGAAACATATTGTGTCAAACCTTTAATCATTTGGTGCCCTAGTGCGAGTAGAGTTCCAGAGGGTTGCAGCGTACAAAGCAGTACGCAAACCGGACTGCATCCATACAGCATTCTGTGTGAAACAGGCTTAGGTGTTTATACGGTAAATCCTGTTTTCTTTTATTTAACATCACCTGTTTTCTTCTGCAGGCTTATGCAATGATGCTGTCTCTCTCTGAGAACAACCCTTTGCACGCGCCCTCCCAGAACTCTCTGGACGCTTGGTTGAGCATGGGAGGTGGACCGTCTGAGACGAGTAGCTTTCACCCTCTCAATCATCTCTGAGCAAAGAAAAGCGAGACAAAGGAGAAGGTGGGAGGAACAGTAGGAGGAACGTTGGTTTCACAAACTCACTGAAACAAAAGACTTAAGAGACGCGAGGATGAAGGCCGGACAAGAATTCAATGTCACATACATTCAAGATGGCGTGAATGAATGTGTGTGGTGTGCTCACTTGTTGGTGTGTTTGTGTGAGTGAAATAGAGGAGTGTCCCTTTGAGAGGGGTCCTGCAAGACTGTCTAAAAGAAAGCACTGCTAAAGCTCCTGTTGATGTGAAGGACACAATGAATGCTTTTCCATAGCATTAAAACTCGGATCCTCCCGGAGAGCACGACGGCTCACGGCAGCACCACAGACCCCCGTATGAGGCTCCTGAAGACACTAAATGACTCGTCTCTAAAGTCTGTGTGCAATGCCTTATGCGAGGATTGTAGCGCTGGCACTGCATGTCCACCAGGTGGCACTGTTCGAGCAGGAATCCAGGGAGTGAGAGCAGTCCTCTCCAGGTTTTTCTCCACCAATCACGGTGGCTGATCTTGTTTCTTTTTTTTTTTTCTTCTTTTCCTACTTCAGAATCAATATTAGCACCAAACTAAATTTTCAAATTCAAAATTTTTCCAATAATGTTCAAATGTGCTTTTAATGACGTGTTTAGGCCACTGGTCATTGTAAATGGTCACTAAATTTATCGTTGCTGAAAATGATTTGAAATTCTGCTAAAAATTAAATTTTATTTTCTGTTTATTACGTCCTCATTTAAGTATTTTTACTTTATTCTATTAGATACCACAGTATTGTTTCTTTGTAGACATCACAGTGCTAAAACTGTTAATTTAATTATTTTAGAGAAGGACCAAATTTGTATGATATTGTCATATGATGTAAAAAAAATAGATGTTCATAACAAGAGTGGTATGTGCCAAATAACCCATAGAAAATGTTGTTTTTGTTTGTTTTATTTGACAATCATTTCATTTCCAAGGGGCTCACATTTGCTGTCATAGGTTTTCATGGTTTCCTACTACGCTTATATATTTGATTTCAGAATTGTGTGTATGTATTTATTTTTTTGTTGTTGTTTTGACTCGAGGAGTGAACATGAAGAAAAGTCTGTCCCTCTTTTCTTGAAGGAAGGATCGATCACCCATCGAACTGCAGGGGAGATTCGGAATCTCTGGTTTTAGTGGGTTAGTTTGCCAAAATAGAGAAAATAAACACAAACTTACTTGTTTTAATTTATAGCTGAGCACGTGTGTAGGTAGTTATAAAACCTTGTTTGGTGATGAAGCATCCTATGGGGTTTAGTTGTTTTCTCTTCTTCAGAATGTCAGGAAAAAGGCATTATGTACTATTTAATATTAGTTTCTACCATACTGAGCTCCCTTTTCTTTCAGTTTGGCATTAATTGTAACATTTCATCCATGTCTAAAGCAAACAATCACAACTACATGGTAAATATGGCGTCCCACTGAAGGAACAAAGTGGAAACCCTGCCGATCTGTTTAGTCGTTAAAAGAAAGTTTCTAGATGGAGAAAATATTAGTTTAAATTTAAATTAATTCATTGTTTTAGATTCTTTTAAAAACCAGTTGAATTTGATCAGCAACTGACGCCATTGATGGCATCCATAACATACTGTAGATGTCTGTATAAGGCGAGGTGTTGATCCCTTTTTCCCTTTTAGAACCAGACCTAAACTTGTATTTGCAAACAAGCACTTAAACGGGTTCAAAGCATGACGTGACCCGGCCTCCCAGCCACCATGTGTAGGTGGACCCCATATGGATATATGCGGGCTCTACATTGGTTTTCAGAGGGACCCAGATGGTTTGGGCCTGTTAAAATCTGCATGGGCAAACCCTGTTGGCACCCATACGGTTTGCCCATATATGGGGCTCTTCTTTGCATGGTGGCTGGGCTTTGATCTCTTGGTAAAACCTAAAACACGATGCATTTCAAACTGGTTTGACTTTGAGTGGCTGAGAATGTCGAACTCAAGAGATAAAAATGAACAGAAGCACTGTAATTTTTCTTCATGACAGCAGTTGGTGGTGTGACGCTCGGAGTGCTGCATCATCTCATTTTTCTGAAGACAGAAGTCTTGTTTTACGAATCTACTGAATGAGATTCCATTCATGCAAACACATTGTTTTTTTTTCAATTTGTGGTTTGAAAATGTAAAGACTTGGGTCACTAAGTTTTAAGTTGACTAAATGTAGTAATTCATGTCATGGACTACTGTAACGAGTACGCGCTGTGCAAAGCAATTCAGTTGAAGGTATTGAGGATTTTCATTTTTCAGGCAACTTTCTGGTCACGGAAATATTTTTCAACATAACAAAACATGGTTGCTATTTGACCCACTGTTACAGAAGAAAGTAAAAAGTATATATACATGGTCTCTTTTTAACTGTATAGTATTTTAAAAGAATGAAAAACAATGGTGCATTTGTCTGAAGAAAAAAATCTTTGAAATATGGGTTTAAATGGATGGTGCTTGTTTTGTTTCAATCTGAGTTGTATATCTCCTCTGTTATGTTTATTGAAAAAAAAACATTCTTGTGCATGACATGTTTAGCGGTCATAATGATGTCCATTTGTGAAATGTGTATCAAATCAAAAACAGAGAAAAAAAAAAGAAAAAAGGAAAAAAATAATAAATAAATCCGTAGATGCACTTATTGTACATGTGTTTAGGTTAGTAGGTTTGACTTCAAGTTCCGACTGCCTCACCTACGTGTGCGTGAGCAGCTTCTGACAGACGTAGAAACGACTTGTTGGAGAAGAAAAAACAATAAAGGATTGTAGAATAATATGGAACAATTCTGAAATTGCAGTTCTTTTGATGCTTGTGATTATTGCAGATGTACTTTAGAGAAATCTCATTGAAAAGATATGACTCTGATGTTAATTCTGTAGAATAGCAATGTATACCAAATGTAATCTTTCCAATGCTATGAAGAATTTATACATGAAATTGATATGCAATAAAACCTGTGTGCTTTTTCACCTGTGCCATGTATTCAATTCTACATCCTTAAATGTATCATTTATTGACTTGAAATTATTGGAATAGTCACCACCTTGTTCTTTTTGACTAAATTGTAAAGTCTGTATTTATAATTTTATTATTTGTGTTAAACAAATTATTTAAGATTCCTTAAAAGCTGATATGGAACATTTTATAGCACTAAATAATTAAAGAAGATCAACTTTATTTTTTTTTTGTTTGTAAATCTACAACTCGATTGGGTACACCTCATTTGTGTTCTTGATTATTTATGCCAGAGATTAAACAACATGCTAAAAACATTTGTCAAAGATAATTGGTCCATACTGGCAATGACATCATAGCTGCAACAGATTTGTTGGCTGCTCATCCATGATGGGAACCTCCCATTCCACCAATTCTGTCCTGGATGAGATTGAGACCTGTTGACTGCAGAGACCTTTGTTGTTGCTTGTTCTTCTTTGGAGGCATCATGGCAGCATCCATGGTCTAAAGATGGATGTGTTTTGTGGTAGTTTAGCATAATTACCCTTTTCTGAGGATCAGGGTAGTCTCATCCAATCTTTTCATGCAAATTATTCATTTTTCTAGCTTTATACCTTTGGACATGGTTTAGACATTAAAATAATACAGTTAGACCTTTAAGCCTGGGGCACACAGAAGACAGATGTGCTTAACCATGAAAGCGCTGCGGTTTTGGGAAGTCAAATGGTCACACAGGACCTGCTACGCCGCTGAGCACTTCTTGGAAAATTGCAGCATAGTCACACAGAAGGCAAGGCAGCTTTATTTCTAAAGCACATTTCAAACACAGGCAATTCAGTGTGCTTTCCATTTAGCACATCATGCGGGACTTGAGAACAGGAAGCGGAAAGTGACTCTTTAGTTTATCCGTGATCAGACTTGCCGTCGTGTTTGGTGAGAATCTAATTCATAAAAAATGGGTAAGTACGCTATTTATTAGAATATTTTAAGATCAATAGTACTTTAAAGTTATCAATACTGTAATCAAGTAGCATTTATAAGCTCCTCGTCCATGTTTTGGCAGTTGGGTTTTGCCGTAGAGCTGTTCTGCGCCATAATGTCTGTTATCAAGAGCAGCGCAATGGCACTTGAAATAGAATTGGCACCTCCGAACGGACCGGGCCTTCTGGGACATGGCGTTGTGCTCGCCGTGAAGCCACTCTCAGTTACTATAATGGCTTCTTCTTAAAATGACGAGCGCATCTATCTTCTGTGGCTCAGGCTTTAGGTTTACCCCCAACTACACACCACATGTCGTATTACAATACCCAGTGACAGATTTTGACATGATTGTATTAGTAAAAATAGACAAGTGCACGGCATCTTTCACATGTTCATGAGACGGCTCATAAACTCAGAATTTGCTGCTCACATAGCAGAAGACCACTGAAGATGGTGTAGTGATACTGATCATCGAAATCCTTGTGTGTTCCCTTAGCAGCAAATACACAACATCTCCACATTCCAGTTGTAATACAATACTGTTAGCAGAGTTTGCACCATGGGAGGTCTGATGTTTATATATGTTGTAAATATGTTTTCCATTCTGGACCAACACAGCACCTGAACCATGGGAAGGGTGTCCATGTGCGTAAAGGTGGAACACAAAGCGGTTTGCTCCTTTCACCAGTGCAGTAAAAATCATGCAGGACATTTAAATTGAGTCCATCTTGTATTTTATAACTAACTAACTAACTAACTAACTAACTAACTAACTAACTAACTAACTAACTAACTAAATAAATAAATCCAAATTAGGAACAGCGTGGTAGTGTTGTATTTGGGTTGTAGGCATTTCTGATATTTACAACCACATTTTTGAAGATCAGAGATGTGTAAGCTTTAAAAGGTCCGATATCTGCTCCTTCAGAGGCCATAAAGCCACTTGTTTCACTGAAAAACAGAAAGATAAATGTGATAAGTTGCTAATGTCACACTGATGAAGTCACCAACCTTTTCCATCTTTTGTTAGAGCCTCAACTTGCTTCTCTTTGATGCCTGCCACACTTTTAATAGCCATCAGTTCTTTTGACTGGACTGGAAATTCATTTTAAAAAACGATGTGAAACAATCAATCAAAACTTTATTGCAAATAAGAAACTGACCACATCACAATAAAACAAAGATCAAATTAGGGGGGAAAAAATAAAGAAAGGAACAAAAAAGTTCCAGCTCCAACTACATTCCAACAAATCATGGAGGGGTCTGAAATTAACAATGTAGGTGCATCCCCACTGTGAGAGACAGAATGTAGAAAGAAAAATCAGGAAATCACATTGCATGATTTGTAAAGAATTTATTTGTTTTGCACTGCTGAACATAATTATTTGGACACCTGGCAATCAGCAAGAATTCTGGCTCTCAAAGACCTGTTACCCCGGGTTTCCACGGGAGCCATCAGCAGCACGTTACTGCAGCAGCACGTCTTGCTCGCGTAAGCTGCTGCTTGGCCCTTCCCACGAGACGCGAAGCAGCAGGGGAGCAGCTGTCACCGACCGAGCACGAAGTCACACGAGTGACCGTCAGTAAACACAACAACAAGCAGGAGAAAATTACAACATGGTTTGTGTTTTATGTTCTGTCCGTTTTATAATCGCCAATACGGACCTGAAAAACAAAGGAGACCGCTAGCTAGGTGATAACTTCTCACGGGGACGCACAGTTAGTAACCTTTTTAAAAGTAAAGCAACCGGAAGGCAGTACGTTCTTTATTCTGAAAATCTCGGGAGCTTCTCTCCATTTCCGCGTCCGATTTCCTGTCTTTCCTTCCCCAAAAATGTCGAACTTGACCCGTTTCAGAGGCGTCGCGCGTAGAAAATAGAGCCGGCGCATAAAGGCCGCGACATGCTGCTCCTGAGACGCGGCCGACTCACGCTGCTGACGGCTCCGGTGGAAAAGGTTCTGTTGACCACAGTGGTTCCTATCAGCAGCTATGACGTGCTGCTGCAGTAACATGTAACCCCGGCTTTCCACAGGAGCTGTCAGCAGCACGCCATAGCTGCTGATAGGAACCGCTGTGGTCAACAGATCCTTTTCCACCGGAGCCGTCAGCAGCGCGAGTCGGCCGCGTCTCAGGAGCAGCATGTCCCCTGCTGCTTCGCGTCTCGTGGGAAGGGCCAAGCAGCAGCTTACGCGAGCAAGACGTGCTGCTGCAGTAACGTGCTGCTGACGGCTCCCGTGGAAACCCGGGGTTACTCTGCCTTTAAGAAGTCCACCTCTACTCCACTTGGTAATCTTAATTAGTAGCACCTGTCTGAGCTCTTTAAAGACACCTATCCACCCCACAGTCAGTCAGACTCCAGCTACTACCATGGGCAAGACCAAGGAGCTGTCAAAAGAAACCAGAGACAAAATGGTGGACCTCCACATGACTGGAAAGGGCTACGGGGAAATTGCCGAGCAGCTTGGTGAAAATAGATCAACTGTTGGAGAAATTGTCAGAAAATGGAAGAGGCTAAAGACAACTGTCGGTCTCCCTCGGACTGGGGCTCCATGCAAGATCTCATCTCGTGGGGTATCACTGATTATAAGAAAGGTGAGGAATCAGCCCAGAACTACATGGGAGGAGCTGGTCAATGACATGAGGAGAGCTCAGACTTAAATAAAAACTTCCATTCTACTTCTACACAAAGGGTTTAGTACAGATTCCAGTTTGTCATGAATGTGCAGTTTACTTAAAGGAGGTGTCCGGATTATTCCTTTGACCTGATGGCACCATCTAGTGGCTGACAAGTGTATCACACCAAGACGTAGTTTCATTTCCATATTTACAGCCAAAAAATGACTCTTGATCATGAATGCGCTCTTCCAGCCAACAAAACAGAGCTAAAACACATTTTTTACAATTATTATACTCATGTTATGTTTTCATATATTTAAATTTTAAAGACTTACTTGTGCATGAGAAAGGTCGCCAACTCTACACACACTGAGGTACGTCCTCAGACGCTCGAGCACATTCTGTGATTGACTTCTATACGTGAGCGGTGGTCTAACGCTATGGTTAGTGCTGATCAGCACTTATTTTATATTGCATTGACCTCTACAGGTAAATAAAACATGTGATCTTCTTGAATCTGTTGCTCACATGGTGAAAATTAGGTGACCACTGAAGGTGGTGTGATGATTTTCATTATCAAAAATCCTTGAACTTTGCCACTGACGCAGAAACACAACATCTCCAACCTCCAGCAGAAGTGTGACACCGTTGGCACCATTAACAGAATAGGAAGACTGATGCTCGTATGCAATAAAGATATGTTCTCCATTCTTAAACAACACAGCTCCTGAACCATGTGAAGCATGTCCTTGGCCATAAATGTAGAACTCAAAGTGATAGACTCCTCTCACAGGAGCGATGAAAAAACCTGTAAAACATGTTTTAAAGAAAACATGAATGTTAGGTTATGTGGCTAGTCTAAATTTGTGTGAGAGAGGGTTATCCGTCCATGATGGACTGGAGATAAAAACAAGTTCACATTTATTCTGACTCACTGTGTTCAGAGAAAATGAATGAATTAATAGTATTTAGTGAAACTGAGTACCTGTATTTGGGTTGTAGGCATTTCCAATATTAGTAACAATACGTCTGAAGACCAGAGGTGTTTGAGCATTAAAAGGTCCAATATCTCCTGAGCCTGAGTCCATTAGAGAGGCTGAGAAAGCCACTTGTTTCACTGAGACACAAAAACTTCATTAGTTTTCTCAAAATTATTTGGTGATCAGTTTTTTTTTTCTGAGCTAAAAAAAACCTCAAAATATTGGGTGTCAAAACAATTACTGAGTTCAGTTAAACATTTGCATTAGCAATTTTACCATATTAATTTTATAGATTTTCTTTGTTTTGTTTTAACCCTCTCAGGCTCAAAATAAGTTTTGATAAAAGGACGAACAACTAAGTCCTTCAGGGCTACTTCTGAGTTAAAAACTGCTCATGAAATACGTTTGTGGAGTAACCAGGTAGGTAGGTTTTAACAATGCAAATCTGCAACATCTGCCTCCAGAGGGTTAACAAACCTTCTCCTTCTCTCCTCAGAGCCTCCACTTGGTTTTCAGTGATGTTTGCGGAGGCTTTAATGGTGATCAGTTCTCCTTCATGAGCTGAAATTAAAGAAAGCAAAATCAATTAAAGCTGCAAGCAGCGTCGTTCGGCCCTCGCAGCGAAGCTGCTCGTCCTCCGTCCGCGCCCCCTCCGCTCCATCCCAGATGCTCTCCAAACCCAGCTCCGCGCTTCTATGTCCTGGCCGGCAGCCGGGGGCACCAGGGCACGTCTGGCGGAACAGAAAGTCAACCACCCCGACACCAGAAACCGTGAACGGCCTCCTCGTCCACACCTCACCCTGACTCAGCATCCCCTCTGAGCCCACCATTACACGTCTCACCACTAGGAGATCCTCTATCTTTACCACACTGGTGATGTGATGTTCAGTCTCGGGCAAATCGGAGGCTGTTTGTGGAAGTTACAGTCAAACGTAAGGTCACAGCGTCACGCCAGAAATCGCCATGGCATCAAAGCAGCCTCCCTTTCTAAAAAGCTATCAGATCTGAATGGTCATTACAACATCATGAAGACAGTGCATGACCTTAGTGTCATGTTGACTAAATTAGAGGGGACAAATATGGGCATTTCACCATAAAACAGTAGACTTCCTGTTATCAGGGGGCGGGGCTTAGGTGATGCCAGCTGTCCACATTGTCACTGTCTTCAGATGGGGTCAGTGATCACACAGACAAAGTTTGAAATTGATCTGATCATGCACATGGGAGTTATTAAGTCAAGTAACGTAATGGCGACTGGTCAAAGTTTGAGGCTTAGCCACGCCCACACCTTTATACTTATTTAAAATCCGACGGTTGAATTTTTTCCTCTATGTCTTAAGAGTATATAGCAGGAGTTTGAAGGTGATCGGTGGAAAGGGCGACGAGACATCATTCTCCTAATAACGTGTGCGAAAACCACTAAATCGAGTACTTGGACCAAAATGGCCGACCTCCTGTGCGACATTGCGCTTGGCTCCAAGAGACTTTTTTGTAGGTCCTGAGACACTACATTAGTGTGCCAAATTTCGTGATCCTCAGTCAAAGCATGGCTTGGGGCTGACAGTTTTGATGGTCCTAGGGGGCGCTATTTCAGAAAATAGGCCACGCCCACAAACTTCAGCTGTCCACTTCTATTAGGGGTCAGAGTAGGATCACTCATCAGAAATTGTGTGGCGATGTCACAATGATTGAAGAAATGAGAGACAAACGTATTTCCATGGCGTGATGGCGAATTTCGCCATGCTCCCAAAGCCCCGCCTTTATTCGAAACCTGCCAGTACTATAGACCAAGTGACCTCAACTTTTCTGCTGCTATGTGCCAGTGATTGGTGGTGATTGGTTAAAAGGAGTTCAATAGGGAGCTGTGAAAAAAAGAGTGGCGTGGCGACAGGTCAAAGTTTGAGGCTTAGCCACGCCCACACCTTTATACTTATTTAAAATCCGACGGTTGAATTTTTTCCCCTTTGTCTTAAGAGTCTATAGCAGAAGTTTGAAGGTGATTGGTGAAAAGGGCAATGGTGTAACACTCTCCAAACAACGTGTGCGAAAACCACTAAATCGAGTACTTGGACCAAAATGGCCGACTTCCTGTGCGACTTTGCACTTGGCTCCAAGAGACTTTTTTGTAGGTCCTGAGACACCACAATAGTGTACCAAATTTTGTACTCCTCAGTAAAAGCATGGCTTGGGGCTGACAGTTTTAATGGTCCTAGGGGGCGCTATTTCAGAAAATAGGCCACGCCCACCGGATGTTCACATCCGATTCTTTTTGGGGCCGGACTAGGATGACTCCCAAGAAGTGTCGTGGCGATATCTCTAGAAATGACGAAATGGGAGGCAAACGTAAGGCCTAAGCGGTACGCCTGACTTCGCCGCACCGGCACTGCCCCGCCTTCTGCAGAAAACACCCATAAAGTGACGCCAAGCAACGCCACCTTCTCTTCAGTTAACTGCTACAAATTTGGGCTGATTATTCGAAAGGGCGAATTTTGGAAAATTTCCCAGTAAAACTTGACCTTTTAAGTCCTGAGGGGGCGGGGCTTGTGTGACATCATCAATCGACCATTCATTTGTCTTCGGGGGGCGATGACAATTATCCATAGAAAGTTACTTTAACTCTAATTCTTTCATTTATGAAATTATAGCAATTTGAATTTATTTGGCGAGTGCTCGAACTTTGAGGTCTGGCCCCGCCCCTTCAGTATTTACGAAAAGTCAATTTTATTTTCTCATTTGAATCGTCCATCGCTTCTGTTCGATAGTACACTATTTTTGAGACAATCGTGCGAAAAATGACCAAACTGTTAGACCAAATGTAGACCCTAGAAATGGCCAAAACGGCTAAAAATCTCCATTTCAACCCAAAATGGCCGACTTCCTGTTTGATATTGACCATGGTTGCAAGAGACTTTTCTGTGCGGACTGTTGAGTACTACAAGTAAACCAAATTTCATAACTGTACGATAAACTAAGCTTTATGGAGAGGGGTATTTTTCACTTTCTAGAGGGCGCTGTTCAGCCACTTTTTTATGAACTTTCACATCGCCAGTGAAATACGTAAATTTCACGCACTTTCTATATTGGGCCAGAATTTGGTGACTTTTTGGATATGCTAAGACCCCCTAAAGGCCACCCAAAGACGCGGAAGAAAAAAAATAATAATAATTAAAGCTGCAAGCAGCGTCGTTCGGCCCTCGCAGCTCCGCGCCGCTCCGGCCTGGCCGGCAGCCCGGGGCACCAGGGCATGTCTGGCAGAACAGAAACGTCAATCATCCCGTCACCAGAAACAGCAAATGGCCTCCTAGTCCGCACCTCACCCTGACTAAGCATCCCCTCTGAACTCACCATTAAATTGAATTGTAAGGTTACGGCGTTACGCCAGAATTCGCCATGGCATCAAAGCCCCTCCCTTTCTGGAAAGCTATCAGATTTGAATGGCCATTACAGCATCATGAAGACAGTGCATGACCTAGGTGTCATGTTGACTAAATTAGAGGGGACAAATATGGGCATTTCAGCATAAAATAATAACTTCCTTTAGTCAGGGGGCGGGGCTTAGATGATGTCAGCTGTCCACATTGTCATTGTTTACAGATATGGTCAATGATCACACAGACAAAGTTCGAAAAAGATCTGATCATGCACATGGGAGTTATTAAGTCAAGTAATGGCGAAAGGTCAAAGTTTGAGGCTTAGCCACGCCTACACCTTTCAACTTTTGAAAAATCCGACGGTTGACTTTTTTCCCCTATGCCTTAAGAGTATATAGCAGAAGTTTGAAGGCGATTGGTGAAAAGGGCGAAGGAGCATCACTCTCCAAACAACGTGTGCGAAAACCACTAAATCGCGTACTTGGACCAAAATGGCCGACTTCCTGTGCAATTTTGTGCTTGGCTCCAAGAGACTTTTTTGTAGGTCCTGGGACACCACATTAGTGTACCAAATTTCGTAATCCTCAGTGAAAGCATGGCTTGGGGCTAATAGTTTAAATGGTCCTAGGGGGCGCTATTTCAGAAATTAGGCCACGCCCACATATTTCAGGTGTCTATGTCTCTTTGGGGTCAGACTAGGATCACTCACCAAAAGTTTCGTAACAATATCATGATAAATGAAGAAATGAGAGGCAAACGTATTTCCATGGCGTGATGGCGATTTTCGCCATGCTCCCAAAGCCCCGCCTTTTTTTTAAACCTTCCAGTACTGGATACCAAGTGACCTCAAGTTGTCTACTGCTATTTGCCAGAGACTCCTGCCGATTGGGTAAAAGGAGTCCAGTAGGGAGCTGTGAAAAAAAGAGTGGCGCGGCGACAGGTCAAAGTTTGAGGCTTAGCCACGCCCACACCTTTCAACTTTTGAAAAATCCGACGGTTGAATTTTTTCCCCTATGCCTTAAGAGTATATAGCAGAAGTTTGAAGGCGATTGGTGAAAAGGGCGACGGAGCATCACTCTCCAAACAACGTGTGCGAAAACCACTAAATCGCGTACTTGGACCAAAATGGCCGACTTCCTGTGCAATTTTGTGATTGGCTCCAAGAGACTTTTTTGTAGGTCCTGGGACACCACATTAGTGTACCAAATTTCGTAATCCTCAGTCAAAGCATGGCTTGGGGCTATTAGTTTAAATGGTCCTAGGGGGCGCTATTTCGGAAATTAGGCCACGCCCACATATTTCAGCTGTCTATGTCTCTGTGGTCAGACTAGGATCACTCACCAGAAGTTTCGTAACGATATCACGATAAATGAAGAAATGAGAGGCAAACGTATTTCCATGGCGTGATGGCGATTTTCGCCATGCTCCCAAAGCCCTGCCTTTTTTTGAAACCTGCCAGTACTGGATACCAAGTGACCTCAAGTTGTCTACTGCTGTTTGCCAGAGATTCCTGCTGATTGGGTAAAAGGAGTCCAGTAGGGAGCTGTGAAAAAAAGAGTGGCGTGGCGACAGGTCAAAGTTTGAGGCTTAGCCACGCCCACACTGTTAAACTTTTGAAAAATCCGACGGTTGAATTTTTTCCTCTTTGTCTTAAGAGTATATAGCAGACGTTTCAAGGAGATTGGTGAAAAGGGCGACGGAGCATCACTCTCCAAACAACGTGTGCGAAAACCACTAATTCGAGTACCTGGACCAAAATGGCCGACTTCCTGTGCGACTTTGTGCTTGGCTCCAAGAGACTTTTTTGTAGGTCCTGAGACACCACATTAGTGTACCAAATTTCGTAATCCTCAGTCAAAGCATGGCTTGGGGCTGACAGTTTTAATGGCTCTAGGGGGCGCTATTTAAGAAAATAGGCCACGCCCACAAACTTCAGCTGTCTATTTCTCTTGGGGCTCAGACTAGGATCACTCACCAGAAGTTTCGTAGCGATATCACGAAAACTGAAGGAATGAGAGGCAAACGTATTTCCTTGGCGTGATGGCGATTTTCGCCATGCTCCCAAAGCCCAACCTTTTTTCGAAACCTAACTGTACTGGACACCAAGTGACCTCAACTTGTCTACTGCTATTTGCCAGAGATTCCTATTGATTGGGTAAAAGGAGTCCAATAGGGAGATGTGAAAAAAAA